GTTTTTAGCTCAGAGGAGTAAAATTTACCTTGTGAAACATCTTCCTTTTCTCAGACTTTTAAGATCTGGAATTAGTAGCGTGCATAGAGTAAATTTATATTGAGAAGTAACCTGTAGTTGCTAATGGTTTGTTTCGCTGTCATACGCCATACCTACTTTGGCAGAAACAAGTTTGAAAAAAATATGGCTGCAGCAGTAATTCATTTGGAGGTGACTGACTATGTGATCTTTGTTGCCTTTCAAGGAAATGTACAATGAGCAACACAAATTGATTAGATTAAGAAATGAATTACTAGAAAAAGAGAAGGAACTGGTGGACTTTTTTCGTGTTGCTGCAAACCCCACTGTAAGTAAAAGTAACACGGTGATTTTTATCTACATATTGAACATGTAACAATTTTTCCCTTCTAAGTGTGTGGTTGCTACAGTTGGTGAGTGCCCATTTAAGGTTAAAATTATTTTGTTTGTGCTGAAACTCCCAGGTCATAATCCAGTATTCTCTGAGAATTTTTGTAATTTGTTCAACACTCTTAAGTTAGTGCAGAATGTATTTCATTTTGGAGAATATTGCAAATCAGGAAGTACCAATGAAATTGATTTACCAGTGCAGTTCAATAGCTTTCGTTTAAATGTTGAGACGAGGTTTTCACAAACAAACCTAAGGTTTATCTGTAGTACAATATACAGTGCCACCATAGAACTGATAAATGTAAAGCGTTTCACTCTAGGATTAGAGGTTCATGTACATGACATTTTGTACATTTACATTTAATGTTTATACAAGTATTTGCATTTTTTTACGCTTTTATTAGTTATTTCATTCATGTATTTATTGACAGGGGTTTCATTAAGATTTTCAGCGGGAGGACAGCTGGTTTTCACAGGCGGGCAAAACTTTTTGAACTGAGCTTCTTTCTAAGAAAAGTGTTCCTCTAGATGGTCAAACCAGGCAGTCAAAATCATCCTCACAACGGTTCAATTTGCGTGGTGCTCAGCCCTTAATGAAATCCCTGATTGAATATACATGTACATATTGATAAGTTAATAAAGATGGTGAATTTTAAGCTTGGTAATGAAATGTGAAGGTGAGATTAATTCATCTTCTCATGTACATATTGTTATTTTGATCATTTTTCTGTAGTTAGAAATTTAGATTATTTTTTACAATGCATGGAAGAGGATCATATTCTGTATGATTCCAATGTTTTTCTGTGTATCAAAGTCAACACCTTTTGCCATTAAATAATGAAATTGCTAGACATTGCTGCAGTTTGTTACATCTTGTGATTGCTGACAACTTCTCTCGACAAGAGAGAAGTAAAAATTAAAAAATTAGTAAAAAATTAATTTCATTGTTTGATGATATTTTGTAACAATTTAGTCGACAGATGTTAAACATCTCAGAGATGAAAATCGTGTGCTAAGAGAAGAAATTGAGCAGATGACGCATGAAATTGATCAACTTAGCTATGGAAGAGATGGTAATAATTGTTACGATTGTTTTTAATTACTATTTTGTTTAGGGTTACCCTTGAAGTAAGAGTGAGTTGGTCACTGGTGTTAATTGGTCAAACAAAATACTCAACTCTGCCATTTTTTCATACAGATTGGGACAGAAAGTAGTAATGAAGAGCTTGTCTTGTTTGAGATCCACTTCTTCAAGTGGGTCATTTGTTTGGTTTTTTCCTCTTTATCACAAACTGAAATCTCCCTTAAGGAGGAGTATAGATTCTTCTGTGTTTAAGTTCATGTACGTGTTGCTTGAACAGACTTTGAATTTCTGCACGCAAATTGTTCATTGAAGGCAGGGTTGTACGCACAATCTTGTAGTGGCATCAGTGATGGTAAAAGACCATTTTACAGTTTAATGTAGCATTCCAAACAAATATTGTAGCTTGCTCTTGTCATACTAAAGTTAAAACGTGAATGTACATAATCTTCTTTTATTGTGTAAACACTAGACAGTGTTCACTTGAAAACACACCACTCTTAAATTTCACACAAACCTACAACCATTGATGACATAATTTCCTGCTTTTACAGTTGTTTGTGTAACAGTCAGTTTTTCTTTATGATAAAAAGAAAATTATATGATGGCTTGAAGATATGTGTTAAAAACAATTTATTATTTAAACACCAGTGAAATACCAGGATTTTTCCTTTTACTAAAAAATCATATCTTCGTTGCGCACAGTGAAGATATTATTTTTATCTTTCACACTGTGAAGATATCATTCCTTTTTGATAACATTTTTCTTTTGTCCCTTTAACTACATTTAAATTTGTTGATGTATGATCGAAACATCTTTGGATCTTCTTCGGTCATCTTTGGCAATCTTGGGCAATCTTCGGTAATCTTCGGAAAAATTAATGATCTGAAAATGTTCGGAAGCGTTCATCTGGCCTTTGAAACAATTTTGGAAAATCTTCGGAAATCTTTGGAAAGTCGTCCGAAATCTTCGGAAAATCGTCAAAAATGTCGTCATTAGTATGTTTGTATAATAAACAGAATACATGCATGCTTATGGATATGAATTTTATCTTCCCGTGTCCAACTCAATATCTCATGAGTGAGTGCAGTGAACTCGTGAGATATCGAGTTGAACACTCGAAGATAAAATTCATATCCATGTGCGGGCATGTAATATCCTCTATTTATTTTCTCATCCACTGTGGTCATTCCTAATGTATTGTTTGTATCACTCAAGAATAAAATTCATATCTTTGTGCCACTGTGTAACATCCTCTGTATGTTGTTCTTTAAGTTGTAATAGGTCATCCAAGTAATAACCCAGCAATACTTCAACCTCACCACCCTTCCCCAGGTAGGCCAACCCTGCAAGCTTAGCAACAAAATTTTTTTGAACATGCTTTGTTGCTTATTCCCTTTCTAGGGTACTATCATCAATAAGACTTTGAAAAGCCATATGATAAAAGACTTTTACGATAACTTTTA